TGATCCCATCATTGACCCTATCAGTGACCCCAGCACTGACCCATCATTGACCCTATCATTGACCCACCACTGACCCATCATTGACCCATCACTGACCCACCACTGACCCCATCGTTGACCCGTCACTGACCCACCATTGACCCCATCGTTGACCCCAGCACTGGCCCATCACTGACCCACCATTGACCCCAGCATTGACCCGTCACTGACCCACCACTGACCCCATCGTTGACCCCATCGCTGACCCATCACTGACACATCACTGACCCACCCCCGCTCCCCTCTCCCAGCCCGTGTCCCCTCGCCGTTCTCCTGTCCCAGCCCGTGTCCCCTCGCCGCTCCCCTGTCCCAGCCCGTCTCTCCTCGCCGCTCCCCTGTCCCAGCCCGTGTCCCCTCGCCGTTCCCCTCTCCAGCCCGTGTCCCCTCGCCGTTCCCCTCTCCAGCCCGTGTCCCCTCGCCGTTCCCCTCTCCAGCCCGCTCCCGCCCGTACCGCTCTCCGGCCCCGCTGCCGTCACTTCCTCCGCCGGCCCCGCCCCGCTCCGCCCCGCGCCCTCTGGCGGCCGGAGGAGCCCCGCGCTGCCGCTCCGATCCGGGCTGCTCCCGAATTCCCGCATGGACTCACCCAGCCTTGTGCTAGGAGGGCGGCACACCCTGCCCTGACGTGCCCAGCCCTCCGCAGGGCCTGCCTGTCCAGCCCCGGCCCCAGGGACACCAAGCCCCGCTGGGCAGACCYGCATTGCCGCAGCTCCGCTGCCATCTGGAGCAGGGCTGCCCCAGGCCGTTTTGGGGATATCCATCTTCACACCCTCCTCTCTTCCCCAAGGACACTGACACTGTGTGGGAGCTGTCCGTCCATCTCTTTGAAGCCGCGATCGGGCTTATGGTGGACAYCACAAAGAAGAGGATGAAGGAGGAGGTGCAAGACTGTTCTTTCACCTGCTTGACCAGGACACAAGTGAGGCCAAGGTGGGATTGCCAGCCTGGTCAGCCCTTTGGACAGTGCAGCTGGGACCCTTCAGACATGTCCCCATGAGGTCTAGCTTGCTCAGTTCCCAGGGAGAATTCCCCTCCCTGATCACAGCTGCCTTTCTTCCTCTGCAGTGYGGATGGAAAGGGAGGTGGGTTCCTTGTCCACCCAGCTCCCTCGTCACTGCCCCTGGCATGGGTTCCTGCAGCCTCAGAGACTGAGTGACGACTCCACAGCACCCTGGGGCTAACAAGACTAAAACTTCATCGCCCATACAGGCTTCCAGCCAGAGACCGCGGCTCCTCTTGTCATACCCTGGGGTGCTGAGCTTGGGGCAGCATCACTCCCCAGCTGGTGCATCCACCTGCACGGGCAATCTCATCTTTTYCTAAGTCTGTTGCCTTACAGAGACCAACGCAGGGCATTCCCACTGTCTTTCCCTGACTCCCCCTGTGCCAAAGAGAAAAGAAATTGTTGGCACAAAATAAAATTTCTGCACAAAAGTACATTTTGGCTCTTTTGACCAACCCCTGTCCCAGACAGAGACAGTACTCCAGCATACCCAAGGACAGGTGCCTGSGACTCCACAAAGGAGGGATCGGAGACCATGCCCGATAGTGGGGCTGGCTGAGGAGTCCCTGAGGGACAGAACGAATTGATCATCATTTGGGAAGKAGCAACGCCCTGTCACCGTCACCACGGGAGGCTGCCAGCTGAGGGACGGGCTCTAAGGGCTGTGGGGGCCGAAGAGGCAGCGCTGGGAGCCCTGGGGCACTGACAACTGACCCCGGGGTGCTGGTCCCCGGCACGGGTGACCAGTCCCTGCAGCACAGACCCCGCTGTCCAGGCGGGACGGTGGCACCGGAGGGGCGGGGACAGCCACCCCCCCGTGGGCGTGGCCAATGCATGGGGGCGTGGCCATGGCCGAGGGGCGGGGCGTTGGTGTGACGTCACACCAGAGTGACACCACTCCGCCGGCCGGGGGCGGGGCAGGGCGCCCTTCCGGAACCGGCAGGCGGTGCCACAGGGCCAATAGGAGGCGGGATCCCGCCGCCCGCAGCCAATAGGCGCTGTCGGGGGCGTGGCCTGGGCCCGGCGGGCGGCGGGGGGGCCCACGTGTGGCGGCAGCATGGCGGCGGCGGCGGGCGGCAGGAGGGGCAAGGCCCCGCGCGGGGCGGCGGGACGGCGGCGGCCGAGGCCGGCGGTAAGGCTGGGGAGGGAGGGAGCGGGGCGAGGAAGAGCTACTCCGGCGGGGCCACCGCCGGGCGCTTCCGCTGCGGCCGCCCACGTTCCCATCCCATCCTGTCCCGTCTCATCGATCGCCCCATTTTGTTCCACAGGCACCGAGCGCYGATGGCAGACCGCGGGCGACTGCCGGTCGGCCCGCCGACGAGGAAGTGTCTAGCGACTCCGAGACAGAGAGGTAAGGGCTGCGCTCGGGGAGCGCCGGTACCGCAGTGAGGTGCCGGGATAATGCCGGGATACCGGGAARTGCCTGTATCAGAGAGAGCTGCCAGACCGGGGGATGCCTGTACCGGAGGGGTGGCGGTACCTGCAGGGTGCCGCTATTGATGCTCACGCACGTGTGTCCCTCCAGTCCATTGTTGGGGCGGCGGCGGCGAGAGGCAGCGGAGGAGGAGGTGGAGGAGACGCCGCAGGAGAAGAAGCTGCGCTTGGCCAAGCAGTACTTGGAGGAGCTCCGGCAGCTCGGTGAGTCCCGCCCGGTCCCGGTGCTCCAGCGGGGCGGCCCCGGGCGCTGAGCCCGGACCTCATGCTCTGTCCCACCGCAGAGGAGGAGCGGGCGGAGGACGAGGAGGATCTCGAGCCGGCGGATCTCATCGGCGACCGGTTGAAGGAGGACGTGGTGAGTGGGGGAGCGGGCACGGCCCCTCGGTCCGGGTGACGGTGGTGGGGTCGGTCCCCTCGCCGTGGGACCGGGACTGAGGCCACCTTTGCTGAACCTCCCGCTTTTTCCCCAGCTGGAGCAGAAGGGCCGGCTGCAGCGCCTGGTCGCCAAAGATGTAAGTGCCCCGTGCTGGGGCTGCCAAACTGCAGGTGCCAGCTTTGGGGGACAATCGGCACGGGCAGGACCTTCTCCAGCTGGGGTGCCAGCTGCTGGCATGCTGGAGAAGGCAGGGTGCTATGCTGGAGTACTCCCATGCCTGGGGAAGGGTGTGGGGCAGCCCAGCTCAGCATCCTGCTCTTCCTGCAGGTACAGCCTCCAGATCCAGCCAGCATCCGTGTGCTGCGGGGACACCAGCTGCCTGTTACCTGTCTGGTCATCTCTCCTGATAACAGATTCATTTTTTCTGCTTCCAAGGAYGGCGCCCTCATCAAATGCAAGTGTTCACCTGGGGTTATGACTGGCTGTTCCCCAGCTCAGATCGTGCAGGGACCCAGTTGCCCGCTGAGGTGGCTTGGCCTTTGGCTGTTCCTGGATTGTGCATCATTTCAGGCTCTGTGGGAGGCTCCCACAGGGCACTTTCAGGAGTGGTGGGAGGCTCCCAGAGGGTGACTGTGATGCCTTTCCTGCAGGGGAGGTGGACAGTGGGAAGAGGCTGTGCGTGGTGCCCGGGGGGAAGAAGGGCACGGAGGAGCGGCACATGGGGCATGCATCCCATGTCCTTTGTATGGCCATTTCGTCGGACGGCAAGTACCTGGTATGGGGACAGGCTGGAGACATGGCCCATGGGAGTGTTCCCCCAGGGTCCTGAGGGTAGACTCTCATGCCCAGATGTGCCTTGCTGGGTTAAAGCAGCCCCTACCCCTGGCTGGGTCAAGAATGGGTCCCTGGGACACCCAAAGCCCATGGAGTGGGAATGGGGGCAGGGGTGGGCTGTGGGTCTCCAAGATGCAGGTCTCAGGCATCCCCTGCTGTCTGCCAGGCTACGGGAGACAGGAACAAGCTGATCATGATCTGGGATGCAGCCACGTGCAAGCGCCTGCACATCTTCACAGGGCACCGCGATGCCGTCTCGGTGAGCTGGGGGCATTGGGCACGATGCCTGTGGGGCCAGGCATCTGTGTGCCCCTCGGCATCCCTCACTGCTGTGCTGTCTGTCCATCTGTCCACAGGGCCTGTCCTTCAGAAAGGGCACACACCAGCTGTACAGCGCTTCCCACGACCGCTGTGTCAAGGTGTGGGATGTGGCAGAGAACGCATACGTGGAGACTCTGTAAGACCTGGGGGAATCCCACTGACCCTGCCAAGGGGTTCACCAGCAGCCCTGGGGAGCCCAAGGGGCAGATGGCCTTGCTCACCACAGCTTTTTGTCACCTCCCCCAGGTTCGGGCACCAAGATGTCATCACAGGGCTGGACAGCCTGAGCCGGGAGTGCTGTGTGACAGCGGGGGGACGGGATGGCACCGTGCGGCTCTGGAAGATCCCTGAGGAGTCACAGCTCGTGTTTTCTGGGCACCAGTAGGTGTTGGGTGCTGGAGGGGGCTGTGGGCAGGTGGTGTATGGGTGCCAGGCATCACCAGACTCACCCGGGATGTGCTGGTRAGCCCTTGTCCCCTAAGCAGGATCCCAAAGCACTCCTGTAAACTGCTGACAGTTACCTGTTCTTCTCACAGGGGCTCCATTGACTGTATCCAGCTCATCAACGAGGAGCACATGGTGTCTGGTGCTGATGATGGGTGAGCACAGGGCCTGGACAGTGCCTGGGGTGGGAGGGTGTCCCCTCAGCCCCCTCATCCCCCACRTTCTTTGCAGGTCTTTAGCCCTGTGGGGGCTGACCAAGAAGAAGCCGCTGGCTCTGGCTCGGCAGGCGCACGGTGAGCAGGACGCCCAGGGCCTGCAGCAGCCATACTGGATCTCAGCAGTGGCCGCCCTGCGMAACAGTGACCTCCTGGCAACGGGTGTGTGGCAGACACTTGTGGCAGCCCCTGGGAGATGTGTCCTGCTCCCATCCCTGGGTCAGGGTGTGTGACAGTCTCCTCTCTCTGCCCCAGGATCCCACAGYGGCAGCGTGAAGCTCTGGAAGTGTGGTGAGGGATTTCGGAAGCTGGAGCACCTCTGGGACATCCCGGTGGTATGGATGGATGGGCAGGTTGGGAATGGAGGGTCTCTCAGCAGGGTCTCCCCTTCCTGGGCAGCAGGAGGAAGCTGTGGGGGCCCCTCCCCCTGCCCTGTCCCTCACCCTGCTCTGTGTCCCCTCCAGGTGGGTTTTGTCAACAGCCTCAAGTTCTCAGCGACTGGTGACTTCCTGGTGGCTGGCATTGGGCAGGAGCACCGGTACTGTCCCCCCTCCCTGGTGCTGCCTGCGGGTGCAGCTTCCCCTTCTTCTGGGTCTTGTTGGAGGGAGACTCCCCTTCTCTCTCGTCCACAGGCTCGGACGGTGGTGGAGAATGAAAGAAGCCAAAAACAGCATCTGCATCATCCCCCTGAAGAAGAAGACCACAGCTTCCGGCCCTGAATCCCCTGGCAGCTCCTAGCCCTCTGTCCCTGGAGCAGGTCATTCTGTCCCTGGAGCTGTGCCCCGCATCCCTGGTGCAGATCCTGCTGGCCCCCATGTCATGATGTGGCTCTGCCCTCTGCGAGGGTCTGTCCCCTTCCCTCAGGATTGGCTGGACCTGAGCTCTGGACCAGTCCATTTTGTAAAAAAAAAACACCACCAAAAACACTTTATTTACATAAATTACAAAAAAAAAAAAAAAAATCACACTCTTGTTCACAGAAAAAGTCTACTCTTAAAAACTTGGTTGGGCTCAAATACCTGGGTCCTGTTACTTGCCCTGAGCCTCCAACGGCCCCCCCGGGCTCTGCAGGGGTTGGGGGCAGTGGGCATTTGTCCACCCCTGCTCCTGTCCACTCTCCCACAAAGGGATGGAAAGCGCCACGTAGAGTGAGGGAAACGATATGGGGAGCTTGGGCCCAGCCTGGCCACACTCGGTGGCTCTCTGGGGCCAAAACTGGGAGGAAAAGTGAAACTGCAAAGCGCCAGGGAAAGGGCGATGTGGGACACGGCTCGGCACGGGGTGATGGGCAAGGCATGGCACTGGGAAAGCGGGGTGGAAAATGGGGCAGGGCAGCGTGAGCCAGCACAGGGAGGGAGTGGGAGGTGCAGCGTGGATTGGCACAAGCAAAAAGGAGTTTGAACGTGGCTTTGCGAGAGGGATTGCATTGTGCACGGGGGTGGGGGCAAGGGGCGTGGGATGTGCCCCGGGGCTGGGTGCAGGTGCTGCCGGGTCTGCTCCAGGGCTCAGTGCAAGGGACAAGGCGAGGGTATTTGTGCCCCAGCTCAGTGCAAGGTCCGTGCGATGTGCACTGTGGCTCAGTGCGAGGGACAGGGGGACATTCACCATGGCTCGGTGCAGGGGGCATGGGTGCACAATGGCTCAGTGCAGGTGACACCGAGGGATGCGTGCCATGGCTCAGTGAGGGATCGGGGGACATTCACCGTGGCTCAGTGCAGGTGACACCGAGGGATGCGTGCCGTGGGTCAGTGAGGGATATGGAGGGACATTCACCATGGCTCAGTGCAGGTGACACCGAGGGACGAATACCATGGCTCAGTGCGAGGGACGGGGGACATTCACCGTGGCTCAGTGCAGGTGTGGAGGGCACATGGAACGTGGCTCAGTGCAAGGGAAGGGTGACACATACCGTGACCCGACATGAGGGACGTGTAGCTCGTGCTGGGGCAGGGACTGAGCCTCCCGGCTGCATGTGGCACCTCATGGGGCCGTGCTCCCCGGGGAAGCAGTGGCGGTGCCGTGTGGCAGCACCACAGCTTGGTCCCCTGTCCTTCACAAGGATGACGTCGTGGAGTCCACCACCTCGCGGCCATTGCACACCGTGGGCACGTAGGGCGAGGCTGAGCCTGGACAGGAAGGCAGCAGTCAGGGCTGGGCTGGGGCCGAGCAGCAGAACCCCCAGCATGCCATGGCAGCAGTGCCCAGGGAGCTGGGGTCGAGGGCACCCAGGATGGCTGTGTCCCCTCAGGTGCTCAGGGTGGCCGTATTCCCTGGGGCTAAAGTGGACAGTGCCTGGGGTAGTGACAGGTGCCTGGGGGCAGCTCTATCCCCTGGAGAGTGGCCCTGTCCCCTCAGAGCAATGACAGACCCTCAGGAGCTGTGCTGTCCTGGGAGATGAGGCATTGGGACACAAGGCAGGGAACAGTCACTGGGGACACCACATTCTCTGTTCCCCCCACTTCCCACCATGGCCTACTCACTTTTCTTCAGAAACCCCTTCTGGGTACCCATACACACTGCCCACCAGGAAAGCAGTGCTGTTCCCCAGCCCTTCCCCACCCCACYGTGCTCACCGTGGGACTGGCTGGAGCCGGCTGCTGCCACGCTGAACCGAGCGGTGCCCACRCGGTGACTGGCCACGTTCTTCTGCGGCTGGAAGAGTATGATGTGGAGCTTGGGGGTGAAGAGGCAGCCGAGGACCACGGTGCCGCTGAGGCTCACCGAGATGCACATGGTGGTGGTCTGGACCTGGAGACAGGGGTGGGCATCAGGTGCTCCACCCATCAGCCCTCTGCCCCGAGCAGGGCAGGATGAAGCCCGTACTGTGGCACTGGCCAGCCCCACTGGGCACAGGCTGCACCCTGCAGGGACATCCCACCCCACCCCACCACACATCCCTCTGTCAAGGTGATCCCGCAGGAGACCAATGGGCAGAGGGTGGACAGTGCCCTGATGGGGACACGCTGGCCGTGCAAAGCAGGTACACCCTGAGCAGCAACCCCAGCCCTGTCAGCGTGCTGCTTTGTGGCACTGCCCAGGGCCTGAGCCTGCGCTCCCCCACCCAGTGCCCACTCCCTCTGGGCGTGCAGGTCCTCTCTGGAAGCCCCTGACTGCAGCTGTCCTCACCAGCTCCTCAAGACCCATCAAGAATGTGTTTGGTTGTCCCTGCCAGGGGGCTTCAGGTGCTGTAGGGTGCACCCCATGCTCCCCAGTACCATGATCCTGGTACTGCTCRGCACCCCAGGCTCCAGGCTGGCCCTGGGGCTGGCATTCATGCCCTGTGCTGTGGTGTCTGGATGAGCCAAAGGCTGTCTCATGCTTTGGTGTCACCAGGCAGAAGGATGGCTATCATTCCTCCATGGTCTGGCTATGGGGGGGATCTCTGGAGGTCTCAGGGCCATTTCCTCACCCTGGCAAGTGAGGGAGGGGGGGCAGATCCTCTCTCCGGGACTCATTGCCCTGTCAGCCACAGCCCGTCAGGACCCTTCACCTGGTCCCGGCCCTGCTCCACCCAGTGCAGAGATGACCATCCCCAGGTGTGTGGATGAAGACCCACCCCCAGGCCCTGCATCTGCTACTCACAAACCCCACGGGGCCCACATCTCCAGGGCCACTTGGATGCAGCCCTGTCAGAGCCCCCTCAGAGCTCAGGCTCTTACACGGTAGTCGCTGGAGGTCACGTAGAAGATGGGCAGGAAGGCCAGCCAGATGATGCAGGTCGTGTACATGGTGAACCCAATGAACTTGGCCTCRTTGAAGTTCTCGGGACATTTCCGTGTCTTGAAGGCGTAGACCGTGCAGAGGACAATCAAGAGGACATTGTAGGTGAGTGAAATGAGCATGTTGGAGTCGCGGTTGTTGCACTTGAGGGTGACAATGTACCTCTTGTCAGGCTCAGTCTCCTTGCCTGTGCCAGGGGTCTCCACCAGCAGCCAGATGACGACGATGATCAGCTGGCAGGAGATGAGGGCCATGCAGATGACCACCTGTGACGTTGGGCTTATGAAGCGGGGGCGCTGCACCCCCTCCTTCACCCCGCTGAAGATCCTGGCGATGCGATTCGTCTTGGTCARGAGGGCCGAGTAGCAGACGGCGAAGGACGTGCCCAGCCCCAGGCGCCGGAGYGTGCACACCCCGGTGGAGGGCTTGGCGATGAAGATGAAGGTCATGCTGTAGCACATGAGGAYCCCCGTCAGCAGAATGTAGCACAGCTCTCGTCCGGAGGCCTTCACGATGGGGGTGTCGTTGTTCTTCACGAAGACAGCGATAACGAAGAGGGTGGAGATAAAACCCAGGCAAGAGATAGTGACGGGGCCAATGGCCCAGACGTCTTTCCAGCGGATGTACTCTTGGGGCAGCTCGTAGCAGCCATTCAGGGTCTCGTTGGGCCAGTACCCRAGCCCACAGTCCATGCAGGTGAACTCATCCAGCAGGTACTCGTAGGGCTGGCAGGGGATGCAGATCCAGCAGCAAATGTCTCCAGGCTGCATGCTCTTGATCTCGTTCTTCTTGCAGGGGTCGCTGCACTGGGACACGGGGATGGAGGTKTCAGCCCAGGGGATGAGGCTGGTGTCCAGGATGAGCCCCTCTGCCCAGTAGCCCACCTTCTGGTACCGGTACCGCCCGTCCACRTAGTGGTAGTTGAAGATGTTGTAGCGCCCAATGCCGTCGCCGTAGCGGTCAAACCGAACGACRCTCTCGGTGTCCGCTGGCCTGAAGGGAGCTGCGGGGAGGAGAAGGGGAGACCATCACTGCCTCAGGGCAGGAGAACACTCACTCCAGGCCTGGAGGCAGGGCTCCTCCAGAGGGTCACAGCTCACCATGGCCACAGGCAAGTGTCCAACCTGTTTCCTGCCTTTGCTCCCATTCTTGCTGCCTGTGCACATGTTAGGAGCAGGAAAGCAAAAATGGAGACCTACTTCCCCTCTGCCTGAGAGCTGCCAACCCCAGGGCAGGGGCAGAGGAGGATTGTGCAGCCCCCTTGGCTCTCAGTGACACCTGGTAGCCAAGCTCAGCCTAAGTCACAAAGGACATGCTTCTGATTCACCCCAAACTGTATGGGTCCCCCATCAAGGGTATCCCTCCAGTTTAATCCCCGAAATGTGAATAAATCATGATGCTTGAKGCATATTCCCAAGGGTCCCTTGTGGGGCTGGTCCCACCCAGCTGTAGCAGGATGGAGTTGGTGACCAGTTTCTCCACATTTTTCTACTGAGGACAGAAGATCTAGATTGCCTCCCAAGAAAGATAGGGAGCTGTTGGCACTTCAGGACAACCACAGCCCTGGTGTTGTCAGGCTGGAGGAATTAGAGGGTCTTCGTCAAATTCGGGCCTCCTTCTTTCCTATCCTGCACCCACCCCTTTCCAGTTTGGCAGCCAAAGCCCATCTCTATCTTGGACTCACCATCRAAATTGACATTGAGTATGAAGTCCTTGTAGAACTTCTTGCCGTTGACAGGCTTCATGGCATCACAGAGCTTGCTGGAGTTGGGGCACAATGTCCGGTGCATGTTGTGGAGGGAGTGAGCCATGGCATAGACAGCGTTGACCACGAACGTGATCTTGGACTCTGGCTCAAACTTGCCTGTCTTGAGGGAATACCGGCTACAGTCCTGTGTGTGGAAGCTGCACTTAAACTTCTGCTCCCAAAACTCCCGAAACCAGGGATTTCGGCTGTTATTGTAGGGGTGGAGGTTRCGGAAGTAGGAGGCAAACTCCTTTATGGGGTAGGCTGCCAGCTCGATGGTGATGGCTCCCTCCGCCACCGCTTCGCTGCCGGCYACCACGCTCTCCAAGGCTCCCCACCCATCGCTGGCCACCCACATGAAGGACACATTGGCTCTCTGGGCAGCCGCCAGCAGCTCCCGAGCGTCCTCACTTCGGGTGAACAGCACGACCACTCTGGCRTTGGGCTTCTGCATCAGAGCCCGCACCACCCCATCGTAGGTTTTCTTGTTCATGGAGCGCCCCACCTTCTCGGACGTGGCGATGCAGATGTTGCGCATGCGRGCTTCTTGCTCRAAGGCCTCGATCCCCRTCTCCCCGTAGTCRCCCTCYGAGGCCACTGTGGACACGTATGTCCAGTTGAAGAAGCGGAGGATCTCGGCCATGGCTTTGGCTTGGTAGAAGTCTGGTGGAACCGTGCGGGCAAAGTAGTCGTAGCGGGACTTGTCGCTGAGCTTGGCGCTGGTGGAGGCATAGCTGATCTGYGGGATCTGGAAGAGCCGCAGCAGGTTGGCCACCTGGTGGAGGAGCAGAGGGGAGTGCCTGAAGAGATGGCCAGGCAAGAAACATTTCT